GTCAGCAGATTGTGTTGCACTTTCACTTTATCACAGTCTTCCATCCTCAGCACCACATTGGTGACAGTGGAGAGGAAAAACTCCCTTTTAGCAGGAAGAAACCTCCAGCAGAACCAGGCTCAGGACAGGCAGCCATCTGCCTCGACCGGCTGGGTTTGTGGGGACAGGAAACAGAGACACCGACAAACACAAAAGGACTGGTCCAGGTATATTTTTCTCTGAAAGAGAGACAAAGAAAAACATGGTATTGATAAGAACTGGTTTACTGCGCCGTTATTCTGGCGTCCATATTTTTTAACACTTTCTTACAAAGTCAACACTTATTATAGGGATACAACGGAGACAGGGACTTTTCATTAGTCTAAACTGGGATTGTTCTCTTCAAAATATACAGTTCTTCTTTTACGAAGGGCTTTCTCATACATTAACAGGCTAGCTCTCCAATTCTGACGTTAGTGGAGCGTCATTGTCTTTCCAGTTTTCTAGATGTATGTTTTAAAATAGTCGGATTCCTCTGATCAATTACTTTCTTTTTCAGAGGAGCAATTTCACCAAGAGATGTTTGCATTAAAGTTTTAAAAATATGAACAAGATCATCCAAGATATTGCTCTCTGTTACATTATTCTGTAAGAGAGAGAAAAATAAAAATGAAAAATATTCTTTAAATTTAGCTACTGTGTTCTCTGAAAAACATGTCATTTACTCTCAGTAGCTGTGCTGTGTCAGTTAATGTAAACTCAAAAGATATTGAAAATGGTTGGACAGAYCAAGATTGTGGGGATGTATTCTTAGGGTCTTACTCTGTGCCATATGTCAGAACCAGATCYAGATGAAGAGAAAGAGTACATTTGTGGACATTCTCATAGGAGAGAAAAMAGCAGATTGTCATTTCCAAAACAAATCTGCTTCTCTTTGCAACTGAGATTCAAGTAAAACAGTAATACCTACTGAGATTCGCTCCCTGCTGCCCTCAGAGACTGTGTGGGTTATTTTTATGAACCCATCTTATTAACCCACTCTCCATCTCTGCAGGGTTTCTYTCAGCATGAACAGAACTGAGCCCTTTCATCACCTGTACCCCGYCTGCTCCGAGAAGGTCGTGCTGAAATTTTTAGGAGCTGCAAAACCACATTTACTAAGTGTTTTAAACGGCCCTCGTGACACCAAATGAGTGCAACAAGGAAGCCATAAATCTGATAAATTACATCTGAAAAGGAAAATAACCAAAATTGCAGATCCCAGGGTTTTTCTTAACAGGGGAGGCTGTTGCCAGCTTTTCGCTGTGCGGTAACGGCACTGATGTCCTCGGTTTGGAATGAAGATGGGGTTGAAAGAATGAGRGATGGTTTTACATTATGGAAACGTTTGTGGGATGGAGAGTGGGAGCCAGGGTTTTCTCCTGAGGTCCGACTGTGGATGTGAGCCTACATGTTTCCTCCTCTCTGCTCCAGTCCTGCTGCATCCAGCCAAAACCTTTATTTTCACATAAACAGGAGCTTGAGGCGTCATAAAAATACACACGAAGGTGATAATAAGTCTTGATGGGCAAATCTGAACCCTGAACCCAACACTGGGAACAGCTGAAATTAACCTCAGCAGTTTTTACAAACTAATACTCAATTATTAAAATGGATTGTATGCAGAATATTTAAAAAAATGCAGCAATATAAGTTTCTAAAATCAAATTTGAACACAACCAATCTGTATGTATCTTTCAGCATTAATGGTGCTTTCACAGATGTGCAAGTTATCCATGCTATGGGCACTAATACAACCCCATACCATCAGAGACGCTGGCTTTGAACGCTGATAAAAATCTAGGCAGGCGTTTTCCTCTTTGTACCGAAGAAAAGGACATGATGATTTACAAAAAATAATTTGAAATTTGGACTCATCTGACCACGGGACACTTTTCCATTTTGAGTCAGTCCATGTCAGATCATCTGTTACAGAATAATGTCTGTTTTTAATGCAGTGCTGACTGAGGGGTCGAAGGTCACGTACATTCACTGTTGGTTTTCGGCCTTCCCGCTTACTTGCAGAGATTTGTTCAGATTCTCTGAATTTCTTTGATGACATGAACTATAGATCCCTAAATTCCTCGCAATTACACGTTGAGAAGAGTTGTTCTTAAACTGTTGGGCTATTTGCTCAGACGGTTGCTCACAAAAAGGTGAACCTCATCCCATCCTTGCTTGTGAAGACTGAGCCTTTCAAGGATGCTCCCTTTTAAACCCAATCATGACACTCACCTGTTTTCAATTAACCTGTTTTTCGAGCATTTCTCAACTTCCCAGTCTTTTATTGTCCACGTCTCAGCTTTTTTTTGCAACATGTTGCATCAAGTTCAAAATGAGTGAATATATGCAATAAAATAAAACAAACAAACAGCAATAAAGTTTAACCATTTGAACATTAAAAATCTTGACTTTTTAGTGTATTCAATTGGTTGAAAAGGATTTGCAAATCATCCTGTTTTATTTTTATTATGTTCTGTACAAACGTTGTCAACTGAATTGGAATTGGAGTAGTAAATTATCTGTAGTGAACATTGTCTAAAGTCATTTTGTGTATAAAACACGAATAATTCTGTCCAAAAGAATTATTTTGGTTTTGATAAATAAGAATGAATCCTAAATCATAAGAGATTTAAAAAAATAATTAGGCTTTTGGAGTTGCTCAAAAGTGACACACATTGTAGAATAAATGTCCTGATGCATCTCAGAAATCCAGGTAAAAAATCAAAAAGAAAAAAATTGTATAGGTCTTCTGGACGGGTTCTTCTCTAATGAAACGTTTTGTCTCTCCTCCAAGAGACTTCTTCAGTCTGAGAGTTTCAGGCAAAATTCAGGCTTTTAAGCCCTGCCTCCGTGTGACTGATACTCACATCACATGGCTATTGTTGACACCTAATTAACACCTATTGTTAACAGGGGGTGGAGTGATACTGGCAATAGCAGCACTGTAGGAGGGGGACAACTGAAAACGGAGGCCTCCACCTCTGTTTAATGATGGACGGTCTTTCTTCACAAAAATGGCTTCTTTTACTCCTCTCTCAAACCAACGTTCCTCTCTATCAAGAATGAGAACATCCTCATCTCTGAAAGAGTGACCGCTGGCCTGTAAATGAGTGAAAACTGCAGAGTTCTGGCCATTAGATGTAGCTCGTCTGTGTTGGGACATTCTTTTGAACAGTGGTTGCTTTGTTTCCCCGATGTATAACTGGTTGTTGGTTGTATAACTGATGTTGGTGCCCCGGCACAAACAGAGCAATGTTGTATATGCTGTTAAGTGCCAGGAGGACTGTGACCAGTTATACATCGGGAACACAAAGCAACCACTGTTCAAAAGAATGTCCCAACACAGACGAGCTACATCTAATGGCCAGAACTCTGCAGTTTTCACTCATTTACAGGCCAGCGGTCACTCTTTCAGAGATGAGGATGTTCTCATTCTTGATAGAGAGGAACGTTGGTTTGAGAGAGGAGTAAAAGAAGCCATTTTTGTAAAGAAAGACCGTCCATCATTAAACAGAGGTGGAGGCCTTTGTTTTCAGTTGTCCCCCTCCTACAGTGCTGCTACTGCCAGTATCACTCCACCCCCTGTTAACAATAGGTGTTAATTAGGTGTCAACGATAGCCATGTGATGCGAGTATCAGTCACATGGAGGCAGGGCTTAAAAGCCTGAATTTTGCCTGAAACTCTCAGACTGAAGAAGCCTCTTGGAGGAGAGACGAAACGTTTCATTAGAGAAGAACCCGTCCGGAAGACCTACACAATTTTTTTCTTTTTGATTGTAGAATAAAATTTTTAAATAAATAAATAAATAAATAAATAAATAAATAAATAAATAAACTGCAGCTGACTGTCACTTATTAATAATTCTGTAATAAACAGATCACATTGTCTGAGTTAAATTCTTTTTACATGACATTTTCTCTCACTTTCAGAAGATTCATGCTAAGAAAAGCTTTGTTTTTCCTCCAGGCAGTGTTTCTGTCATGCAGCTGCCTCAGAAAGGTCAGCCGAAAACTGCCCACATCCGAGACAACCGCAGCTGCAGCACCGAGGACGTGTCATCTGCTTCTGCACAAATCTGCGAGGTTTGATTTTTCTCTCGTCGGGGCAAATTTAATCTGCGCTTTAATTTGAGCTCCTTCTGGAGCACGAAGCGGGTCTGTAAAAGCTGTGGAGTTAGCATCCATTATAATATTTAACATCAGCGGATCACAGTCATCATTTAGCTGTTCATCCTGATTCAGAGCTGCGTTGAATAAATGAGAATGAACTCGTTCCCATTCAGTTTCATGTGAATGAAAAAAAGGGGGGGAAATAATTTCCGCAGTTATAGAAAGTGAAAATGAGTTATTGAAAAATTTGAACCTAATGTTTCATTAATAATGTGCTGAGGTGAAAGGATAGTTATTTATTTGGTGATTTTAGTCTGTGGGGACAAAAAAAACATTAGGAGCTGTTGTTTCATAAAAAAGTGTTGAATTAAAATGTTAAATGAGCCAAACAGAGCTGATCCATGGTTTTGTGCATGAATGTTTCATCAGCTGCTGAGGAAACATCCACTGAACTTTAAATTCTATCACCTTATCGCTACAAACACAGGAAGTTTTACCAAATAAGTAGTTGTTGTACTTGGAGTCTTTTGTCCCCATCATCATTAATCTCTTTACTCGAGCATTTGAGGCTTCCAGGTTGGTTCCTGGGTCTGGTTTCTTCAGAAAAGAGCAGCTCTGATCTGTGTTCTCTGGCAGTCGTCCACTCCTGCGGTGACGGCGTGGCCGCAGCGGTTTCTCCTCCAGAGAGATACTTATCTTCATCACCTTTACAAAACCGTATCCAGTGTGTGATAAAATCATTTAAAACACAGTGACATCTTCAACTTGAGGTTCAAATTGAATGACGATTGTGATAGTGTGAAGGTTTCTGTTCTGAATCAGTTCATTCCCCTTTAAAACCACTAGCATGTGAACCATTTTTGGAAACAATCCTATAGATTTTTTTTAAACAAATGGGTTCCTTGTTTCACTTTCACTGGCATGCTGTGTGAAAAACAACCCTGCTCAGACTCCATTTCTGACAGGTTTTCCATCACACAGAATAATTTCATCCAGCTCTCAAACTAAACCTGCTTTATTCGGCGGGTTGTGAGGATGGAGCTCATGCCAGCTTGCACATGGGTGGAGTCCACTTCAAGGAGTTGGGAGGAAAGGTGGCAGGTTTTTATTAACCTTTTCAAGCATTCTTTTCAAAGTGATGTTTAGGACAAGGGAAAGGCTATCTATATTGTTGCTTGTGAGGTTTTTATGAAGTGAGGATCAGTCAGTAAATGGAGGGATGCAGGAGCACAACCTGAGAAATGCTCCCTGACAGAAGTAATGAGATGACTCATTGTTGTGACCCGGCTCTAATGGGCAGAACAAAAGCACAACCGTCTGTAAAATGAGACCAAAATAAAAGTCCAAATAAAACATTTACAATATGAGGTGTGGGAATTAGAAGGAAAAAAAATCAGTGGTGGATTGTTTACTGAAACGTAAATGATGCCATGGGTTTCGACAGCCATCATCATTAGTCATGTTTACCCACCTCAAAAAAACAATATTTTAGGTACGGAGCCGAGTCTCGACCAATTAAAATGACATATTGGGTCATCTAGTGAAGTCATTTCCAAGTTTTTTTTTTCTTTATTTGCAGAAAAAATGCAGCTTCTTGTGCCACGTTTTACGAAAAGCCAAGTTTCTGTAACATTTACAAAAATCTAATTTGCTTCTGTCTTTCTGGCTACTTTTAAAGGCCTAATATGTCCTCATAAAAACGTCCTATAAGCTAAATGAAAATGAGCCGTTTAAATGTTGTTTGTGGCAAAACTTGCTTGACATCAATCTCAAATAGGTTTCTAAAATAAAATCCCTTTTCTCTGCCCCGGTCTGCGTCTAAATAAGCTTTATGTTTTGCATAAAATGTGCCTCCGGATGCTTCTTGATCCATTAACACACAAGAACAGTCAGATATTGCTTTGTGGCCCCATTATAAAACAATTGCTTTCATTTCCTTACCTTTCATGTTTTCCCTCATGCGGCTAAATTGACTTGATTTAAAAGAAAAAAAAACTAGATTCACCCACGGATGCATATTTAGGATAATGGAAATAACACCTGCCGACGTTGTAGTTCAAATGTTCCGCTGGGTGCCCCGGCGGAGCAAGCTTGTCGCTCATGTCTTTATGTTTGTTATTATAAACCTAATATTCTGCCTCTATTAAAGAGCGGAAGAACAGAMTTAGTAGAATATTGTTTGGCTCAGACCTTGGCCTCTAAGGCGGATGTACGTTGTTAGCGGAGCTGCGTGTTTGCGACATGTTTCCTAGCAAACAAGTGAGCAAAAAGGTCAGCAGGTCGGAGCTGCACTGTGGCTCAATAAGCTGAGGACAGCATGTTCAAATGTTAAATTCTGCATCCATTAGAGTCAGACTTGTTTTTTTTTTACACAGCATCAAAACACAAATTCTATGTTACTATTTTAATTTATTAGTCTTTGAGATAAAATCAGTTGTTCACTCCGTCCTGTCAAATCTATGTCCAGCAATAATTTAATTATAATCACCCACTGCACTCAAAGCACTACACTTTTTTAATGAATGAATGAATATTTTTTAGAAAATTTCAACAAATAGATATTGTCACCAGCTTTTGAACACTTTAAAGCATTTTCAGGGAATTTGTTATTAAAGCAAACATCCCTGCGGATGAGAATTATTCCCAAACCTCCTCCTTCTGAGTTACTGAGGTGAGGTAACTTTCCGCTGTAAATCCTTAAATCTCACAGCTGAGATTTTTCCAAATCTCAAAAGCCCCAAAGGGTCATGGCGGTCGTTTTGTTTTTATTATCCTTTTAAATTTTTAGTTACCTCAGACATGCACACTTATGCCCACTAACACAATTTTTATATCTTCTTTAATCGTGGGTATAAGAGATGATTTGGGAGAAAACGAGCTGCTTGTTACGACAAATTGTTCAGTTTAATTTGAGGTGTTTTTTTTTTTTTAAATGTCAGATAATCAACCTGTTGAGGAGACTAGGCATTCCAGGCTGGACTCCAACTGCACTCACTGTCTCCAAACGCTGTAAAAGTTCAACTTTATTGCAGTTATTTATTTAAATTTCCCTATAAAATGATTCATTGCTGCACAGAACCAGCGTGTCACGTTTGATTCTGATAGATTAACTGCTGAAGTGCARGCTCTGTTGTAACCCGATGTGGCCAAACATGGTGAAGGAATGTTGTGCATGTTTCCTACCATGGGGGCTTGATGACAGTCATTCAGATAGAGGAGTGGCTGGAATGGAGGATATATGTGAATGCTTCCCCGGCTGAAAAATCAGCCCCCGTCGTCAGCCGGGGCTCCTCGTCTTTGRGTCTGCGCTGTTCTCGCATGAAAATGTCTCGGGGGAGAGAACAGAGCGGGCAAATGATGCACAGAAATGACACTTGTGAGATATGACAGGGACCCCGAATGGAAATACTGCTGCTGCTGCTGCTTATCAGGTACAGCCAGTGGAACATGATTACTACCGACTGGCGGCCTAACAAGGTAATTTAAACACTGCCACCGGCATGCAATCTCATCGTGATTCTGCCTGTAGGRAGCGTCTAACAGCTTCAGAAGCTCTGCTGAAAACACTCCTCGTCATCACATAAATGAGCCCATTAATCCCATCCAGGAGAGGACAACAAACCTCTTACATCTCTAATTGATTAATTATTCCCATTGAGACTCACAAAGGACATTCAATCAGAGCTGAGTAATAAAATAAAATAAAATATCACAAAAAAAAAAAAACATAAACAGAAGCCATTTCACCTGAAGGTCTAACTCTTCTCTCATGCTTGTGAATAGGACATAATATCCAGTCAAATAAAGAACAAATCTGTCCACAAAGAGTGTGTGAACGGAATATAAACTATCCGCTGCCTGTTTTCAGCTTTCAGCAGCCGATAATCATTCCCAGCAGGAGCCACAAGGTTTTTTTTTTCTTTACTTTTCTTGTGTGTGGTTCTAGAAACAGCTGGCACAGGCAGAACTTCTCACCTTTCATGGCATGAACATGGCGTGTTCGAGCAGCACGGCAGCCAAAACGACTTCCTTCACTTCTTCACTGACATACAGATGGATCATGCAAACACAAGTGACGCTTACAACGTTACAACCGCATGCTCTTTTTTAGACATGTAACTATATCAAATGTAGTTTATCGTAAAGTAGATATTGCAATATTTTTTTCATTTTCAGTTGGGGAATTAGTACTAATGAAGTTCTTTATAGCATCTTCAGAAAATCTCAACTTGAAGGATCATGGAGTTTTACACCACTTTGTCTATTCACCTATATCACAAAATGTGCAAATTTCCCCACTGTGGGATCAATTAAGTTTTATCTTATCTTATCTTATCTTATCTTATCTTATCTTATCTTATCTTATCTTATCTTATCTTATCTTGTCTTAAATACGTAGATTGGGACACCTCTTCTCATGGGAATGCACAAAAAATGAGAATCATAAAGCAGCTGATGAATAGTCAAACATAACTCACCTATAGACACTTGGTGACTTGTAAGCCTTCAGCAAACATAGAAAGAGATTTGTTAGCTGCACTCGCTGATAACTAGTTCTTTCATTGAAGCCAGGTCACAGAAAAACTTTGGCTTCGCTATTTTTCCTTTTTCTGGATATGCACATGCTTTGGTCTATCTGCCCCCACAACCAGTGGCGGTTCTGGGCGGGGCCACAGGGACATTGGCCCCATCTGAAATCTGATTGGCCCCCTGAAGTACCCCTGCCCTTTCACTCGTCTGTCCTTGATGGCTGCAGTTCCACTTCCAACCACTAGTGGCGATAGTGAGTCAAATAGGAAAGAAGCATGAAGCTCACAGAAGGCTTTTTTGAACAATCCTGGAGAAAAAAGTTTTTTACTGACAACGATGGCTAGATTTTCTCATGTGTTTGAGAGTATTTTATATATGTACAGTAAAAAATTCATGTAAAACTGATAAGGAGAATTTACTGTGCAAGCTTTAGTGTTTGAACACATGTGATTAAATGTACAAAACTTACAAAAACTGGGGATTTGTGTGCAAGGATGTTGAACAAATACTTGACCCCTCTATGAATTTTGTGGCCCCTTGATGGCCCTTTACACTGAAAAATCCTAGATCCACCACTGCCCCCAACCTACATATTCACTTCCAGTTTTTTTCTCCAAAGACGAAGGAAAATGGGGGAGAAATTAAATAATCCACCTCTTTTATGTTAAACTTGCATAAAGTTTCTACTCGGTCTACATCAAACCACACCCCACATACACTCGTGCTCAAGGCATGTTATTGTACATCCATCCTCATTGGCTAAAGCCTGTGGCCTTAATTGGCCTGATCCTGAGCTCTACTAGCCCACTTATCCGTCCCTGGTAGTAAGTACTGTTTTTTTAAAACATAATTGGACAAATTTAAATCAGCTAAGGCTGGGTCGATTCTTTTTTTGAGCCTGTTTTCCACTATTGGCTTTATTGGATAAAGTAACACATCCCTGAAAGATATTTTTAATCACACTGTTTGCATTTTAAGCTGCAGGAAGAAGCACATCTACTTGCCAGTGTAATCTCTCCCCTGTTGCTGTTTTCATCACAGTCTTTAGAGGGCCCCTGTTGTTTTTAATAGGCCCCGGGCACAGCCGGTCACAGAGACAACCGCAGCACGGCTACAAGATTAATTACACTGTAGCAGCACCTTTCTCACCTCCACATTCCCCCAGAGCCTCTCAGCACGCATGGTGCCGAATTAAAAAAAAGAAATTGAAAAACACGTATAATCAGGCTGAGCTGACGGAGTAATCATCCTGTCAGGGATAATGTCGATACCGTGCCACGGCCGGCACTGGAGCACAAGAGAAAACGGCCCTGATAAAAAGCAGCATCTACCCATTACAGTGGAGGAGAGGGGTCTGTGGGGGTCTTAAGTGGAGGTGGAACAGGAACTGCAGAAAGCACATCAATTGACCTTCATATAATGAAATTTAGATAAGGAAGGCTGAGTGGCTGTGGTCGTTGTGAAAAAAGAAAAGSTCACTTATCGGCTGTTCGGAGCTGAATGTCCCATGGTTCTGTGTGTGGAACCTATTAAAATAAATTACACGTCGTTTAAAATTATATGAATGCAAATCTGTTTTTTTTAATGGTAAATTAGTTACATTATGTAATACGTGAATGTAGCATTCACGTTATTGTTTTCTTCATATATATCATCATATATATCCATGCTATGACTTCTGTTTTTGCATATTTTAAATGTTTAATTTATTTGTAAGTATTTCCCCTCATAGAAATGTATTAAGAACTCTTCGTTTTATTCAAAAACATTGCTTTCTTTTCAATTCAATTATAGCGCCAAGTCCCAACAACTGCTCTCTCAGGGCACTGTAGACAAAAAAAACAAACAAAACAAACAAACAAAAAAAAAAACAATAAATCTAAAGAAGCCAGCAGATTGCGCCAAATCTTTGCTTCATCACAGTCTCTGCCTCGACCAGCTGGGTTTGGGAACCTGATAGAGACACTGAAAAACACAGGACTGGTCCTGGTGTATTTTCCTCTGGAAGAGAGACAAAGAGAATTCACATACTTTCTGTCTTTTTGTCTTTTTATGCTACTTTAATATTGTAGTTATTGTTTCACTACTTTAGAAACTTTAAGCTTTTACCTATAGCCATTTGTTACATTTAGTATTAAGCTAGTGTTTTGCAGCTTTTGGCTTGTCTTTTGCTACGTGTAGCAACTACACACGTGTAATGTATAAAACACGTATGTAATGTATAATAATACTTCAGTGTTTGAACAAGAATTTGGTTTTAGCTTGTGTTCTGTTTCCTTTATAAAAACTCGGACTCAGCTTCTTCATCAAATGTGATTAAATCATTCAGACATTGTTTTCACAAAAATGTTTTTTTCAAATGAAAAACATTCAGAGAGGTACGGAAGCGTAGAGCTCTCACACGAATGATATTATTTTTAAACTGGATCTCGTTATAACGAGAAAACTATCTCYTAAAAACGAGAAAATKTGTCGTTCTAATGACAAATATATCTCGTTGTAATGAGAACAAGATGACAATCTCGTTGTAACGTGTCATGGTTTCTTCTGATTTGTCACTTTCACTGGTGTTTATTGCCTGGATGGTGTGATGGAGAACACGATTGAGCCACTATATAAAAAAAAAAAAAAACAGAACGCGTACTATTTGGGTTTGTGCTCAGACGTTGCAGTTATTAGCACTTCCTTAGCAATACGCACTCTCTAATCTGAATTCAGACGCTATTATTTCAAAAGCATTATTCAGTACTAACTTACTTTGTCATTTTTCAGTCTAGAAATGTGTTCCTCTTGCTGATTTCTTCTTCGTAAAAAGGCACATAGTGGATCAGTCGTGTTCTCCATCACGCCACCCAGGCAATAAACGTCCGTGAAAGTGACAAACCAGAGGAAACCACAACACGTTATAACGAGATGGTTATCTTGATATAACAAGATAGTTTTCTCYTTTTTACAAGAATGTTTTGTCATGATAACGAGATATTTTTGTTGTTTTAAAAACATGCTTTCTCATTTTTTACGAGATAGTTCTCTCGTTATAACGAGATCCAGTTTAAAGATAATTTCATGTCATGTGAGAGCCCTACACTCCCGTAATAGAGCATCTTAGAGAAATAAACTTTTGACAATGTTTTATTAAAGGCACAGTGTGTAGGATTTGTTGTTTTCAGCGACATCTAGTGGTTGAATCATCCTCCCTGGTCCTCCCCCCACCCCCACCCCCCACTTCCACACGCAAAGGAGTTTCTACGGTGTCTCTCAGGTGTCAAAAACCTTTGATAATTCCAACCGCGATGTCTACCAGCAGCTTCAGGGCTAGTGATGTTTCAAGTGGTAAGATTATGAGCTTTAATAAGTAAAATTATCCCAGCTACAATGACAGACAACAAATATTACATTTACAGTATTACAACTAAAACCTTTTGACGCCGCCACCGCAGTTTGTCCTTCATGAGCCTTCGTGGACAAGATGGCGGTGCAAGATGGCGGCTGCCTGTAGTGGCGACCCGCGACCATGGAGATATAAACAGCTTTTTATAAGGTAAAAATAATAAAACAAGGTCTTTGTCTGCAATGATTAGACATGTTTTTTTTTATTATTGTCATTAGTGATTATCTCAATTTCGGCTAAAAGAATTGACAAAATCCTACACACTGTGCCTTTAAAGCTCAAAGTTAAATTTCATGATAATAAATATATATATAATTGTAAAAAGGTTCATATTATTTATTGTACATATTGTTGTTTTAAAATAAAAATTGATTTGTTTCTCTAAGTTCATGTTCTTTGCTAAACTAGGAGTTAACACAGTCATGAATATTCACGTTCACATGAAGCTCGGTGGCCACCTCAGCAGCTGCTGAGTAACTGTTTATCTTTATTTTGTCCTTCGCGTTCAGTGCAGGAGAGATGCTCTCTGGCCTGCAGCTCCTTGTGGCACTACGTTCAGCAGAGCTCTGTTACAGCTGGATCTAATTTAAAGTGACTCAGAGCTGATCACGACCGATCGCACGGCTGAGGTTAACATGCTAGACCCAAATGTAAGAGACATCTGCTCTTGTACTTGATGATGAGTTAGAAATGTTAGCTGTTTGTCTGCGTCCAAGAGCACCTCGCAGGGACGACTGTTTTTACCCTTATTTAATGACTGAAAACATGTTTTGACAATCAGTCGTTTCTGCGGAAATTTCTTCAACAAAAGGAATAAAGAACACGACTCACAATATTATGAACAAAATGCATTCAAAAGAATTACTACTTGCCAGATAATCTATTTTCATTTGAACAGTTTCACAAAACGTCCTTAATTTGGGGGACGTACATCTCATTCCAACTCAAAAAAAAATCCCTTTATTGAGGCTGTTTTCAGAATTTTTGACCTTCTTGGTTATAAATTAATTAGATTTAGAAGGTTAGAGCTGATAATGACATTTTTTCTGTCCCAATACTTCAGTCAGACAAAAGAAAAAAAATAAAAAAGTTGAATATCTTCTCATCTATTTGTGACAGTGATGAAGCTCGACACTACAGCAATGACAAGTGATGCTGACTTAAACTAATTAGCAACCCCAGAAGCTGTTTTCTATGGAGAAGACAGATCATACGTCATGAACAACTTGACATTTCTGTTCTAAAGTCTCATTTTATGGGAGGGACAAATAAGGAAGTCCAAGTTACAAAATCCAACTGTCAAATTTGATTCTGAAACAAGAATAAACTGATAAATTTTATAGAATAAAATTTAGTACAGATTGCACTTTTTRTTTTGGCAAAGTAGCCAAAGACACAAAGCATCAGTGATACAGATGTAAGTATCTCAGCTGTTGTGTTTGTGGGAGGACTGAGTGAAACTTTGTACTTACTGCATCTTTTTTTTTGAAGCCGTTCATTCTGTTCTTTTTGAATTTGCTCTTCTGGCATCAGAATAGAGAATGTAATCAACGAGACAGCTGTGATTTAAATTAT